CCCCAAAACCCCAAAACCCCAAAACCCCAAAACCCCAAAACCCCAAAACCCCAAAACCCCGAGATGGATTGAGAGAATTGAAAAGTGAATATTTTTTAAAGTTATTATAAAATGGATAATATTTTAGCTGCTAAGGAGCAAGAGGATAATAAATTTGAAGCGGAAGTTCAAAATATCTCAATATGTGAGACTAATACCAGGCAGAATATATGGTAAACAAAATCTTTCCTCAATATTTACACTTCCAAGTTAAAATTGAGGCTTAAAAATTAAAAACTAGTAGTTAAAATTTTAAGATCAATACTTTCATCTTTTTCATAAAACAACAACCCCTCAAAATCAACACCATCCAAGCTAAATCCCTCTCCAACATAGCGCTTTAACCCCTTATCACTCTCATCACAAAATTCCCTACCTCATCACCCCCACAAAAAAACAAAACCTAACCTCTAAATCTCAAGAACCCCAAGATTTCCTCCCAATCCCCTATTACCCCCACAATTCTTCCCTTCCCTCTATGCCTAAATTTCCCATTCTCCCTACAGCCCAAACAATGCCAAACTCCAAGGAATAGAAGAAGAGTTAACCCTAATCCAAACAGAGCTAAATAATCGCACAAATACTTCAAGCTCAGAAGCACGAAGTCCCAGTGAACTGCAGGACTCATTACTCTCCCTCAGAGAAGCCCTTGATGATCCAACTCTAAAAATAGAGATAGAGGAGTCTCAAGAATTTTGGAGGAGATACAACCAGCTTTGGGAGAACCTCCAGAACCAACTTGGCAGGCTTGAGAATGAGGAGGTCAAGATATCAAGTGCAAAGGTATGAAAGAGTTTGACAGAGATTGCAGTAGAGTTAATGCATAATAAATGGCAGATTCTGAGATTAGCTTCCTGTGCTCATTTATTTTTCAGCTCATTATAGATGAGGCTCCAAAACACTTTGTCAAAATATTATCAGGGTTCATAGCTCTTAAGTATATGAGGTATTTTGTGAATAGTAGATTCTAGATTGCGACTTAGGAGTTATATCAACTTAATACTAAACCATGCAAGCTCTATACAATGCTACAGCAAATAAGAATGAAATCTTTGAAATTTTCCTTATTTTTGGCTTTTTAGGATTACTACCTAACTTGATTTGCTTTTGAGATTTTTCAAGGCTTCTAAATCCCTTTAGAAAGTAAATTCACAAAATCAGATTTGGATGATATTCACCGTTCTTAAAGGACTAACCTTCCCAATATAGGAAACACAGAGCAGCTCTGAGCCTATAAAAGCCATTACTCTTCTCCCTAAAGCGCCAAAACCTGCAACTTTATCACCAAAAAGTCTGAAGAATAGACTGGTACTTGAAGAAAAGATCTGTAAAGACTCCATTGAACTATCAACTGAAATATTTATGGCATTTTCTGAGAGCTGACAGGGACTTAAAACTAGTACCATAAAATACTCCGGGGTTCCTTTGAATCCGTTATTAGCTCAGGATCGTATCCTTATGAGGAAGACTCCTGTTAGTATTCCAAGCTCAAGTTACGCAACTGTTAATAGTATCCCTGTGAATGACAAGAAACTCAAGTATTTCTTAGAAAAGAAATTCCCTGATTGACTTCGTGTATTCTATATAAACAATGCCTACAAATAGCAGACTAGTGGCTGTTTCCAAATACCTGGTCATTTTCTCCAAGATAGGCAATAAGATTCTTTCTGATGTATTCTTGTCCAATTTTCACATCAAAAGTAAGCTTGGTTATAAGCAAGATTATCAATATTTCAAATTTTAGTAGAAAATTGAACTTTTAGCTTACTTTTAAACTGAATAAGCAGCTTAGGCGGTACAGCGGTGACAAAATTTATGCCTCTGATTTATCTGAGCTGAGATTGCTAAGAGATAATATTGTCTATTGCTAAGATATATTAAATCGATAAATATTTTAGCAATCTTCAATTTGACCAATGCTTCTAGGGGTTTTGGGGTTTTGGGGTTTTGGGGTTTTGGGG